CTGGACGGCAGCACAGCAGCGTGGCTGCCTGCAGGGAGAGAGCTTGGGGAGTGGGGTCTGGAGCCGTGGCAGCAAGTGCTGCCAGCAGCCTAGTCTGACCTGCCCTGGGAAGAGGGCAAGGGAGGTAGGCTGGCTGCACCCAGCCTCCAGAAAGCCACCAGCCCCATGAGAGCTAGTGAGGATGGGGAGCTTGGGTGGCAGCCACCTGGGCCCAGGCGTGCCTGGCCAGCTTACCACAGTGGTTGGCGGTGGTGCCAGAGGAGTGGGAGGTGCAGAAGCAGGCATGGGAGGTGTGGGAGCAGACATGGGAGGCACAGGAACTGGCCTGGCAGCAGGAAGATATCACCTGGGAGGAGGTGTAGGCCTGAGCCCAGCGAGAGTACTGAGTATACATGCAGGCCCATGAGCGGGATCACATGGAGCTGCTCCAGCAGCAGGTAGGCCTGCATTGAAAGCCATGGAAGCTGATCACCGAGCCCTGGGGACAGTCCTGGGTGTGGCACCCATGTTCTTGCCCTCCACTGCCTGGCCCCTATAGGGCCCCTAGGTCCCATCCACTGCCCCACAGCAGGCCCCTAGCTGTCCCTGAGGGGGAGGTCATCCAGCGCGCCCTGGTCACTGCAGCACCTGGCCCAGCCCCCACCCCAGGTCCCCCACAACTTGCCTAGAACCAGCCCCACTGTTCACCCCAAGGCCACTGCCCCTGGGGCCACTGGCCCTGAACTCAGACTGGCAGAGGTGGAGCTGGCCGTTACTGGAGACAAGCCCACCGTGGTTGCCATGACCCCCGCAGCTGCAAGGAATGGGCCAGGGCTGGGGTGCTGGGCATCTGCCCTCTATACCCCCCTCACCCCACAGTCCCCCACTCCAAGACTCACAGACAGAGACTGAGACTGTTGTAAATAGTTCTGACACTGGGGAGAGGGTTTTTTTTATTGGTGGTGGGTGGGGAGGGGGGTAGACGGGTACTGTGTGTTGGGAAGGGAGGGGGGAAGGGTCTTTGATGGTTGAGGGGGCGGGTAGGACGTGTGTGGGTAGTGGGGCAGGCAGGCTGGAGTAGGAAGTGCAGGAGAACAGGGTTGGCCAGGGCCTCCAGCAGCCGGTGCCCTGGCCCCTACTGGTGGATGAGCAGCTGTCCTGGGGCCTGGGGAAGGGGATGGGTGGAGGAGGGGACCTGCTGGGGCTAGCACCATGGCTAGCAGCAGCACAGGACGCTGGTCATCACCAGTAGGGGCTGGGCTGAAGCAACAGGACACTGGGCATTACTGGCAGGGGCTGGAGCAACCATGGCATGGGGAGGCAGGGTGCGCATAGAGGGAGTTTCCACATGCTGCCCCTGCACTGGGCAGGGAAGGGGCTAGCCAGGGATCAGAGTTTCCAAGATGGCTGCCAAGTGCTGGCAGCCATATGGTCAGAGGCTTGGTCGCCACAGGGACACATGGCAGGGATGGAGGGACTTGAGACTAACTTTAGTCCCGAGTCCCTGCACCTGTAAACATCTGCCAAAAAATCACTTAATGTGTATTAGCTTAATGCACATTAAATGTAGTCGTGCTGATTTACACATGTAGACGTACCCACTGTGTGAAAAAACTTCCTTCTGTTAGTTTTAAGCTTAGTACCTACCAGTTTCATTTTGTGACCTGTAGTTCTATTGCAAGAGAGTAAGTAATAATTCCCTATCTGCTTTCTCTTTGTCATATAGCAGAATCAACCCCACAGTTTGGAAACACTAAGATACTTCAAAACACTGAACACGTTTCCAGGTAAAGCATCTAAAATAGTTTATTGATGCCTTCTCCCAAGATCTGTTTTGATGGAGTTCTAAAAACAGAAGCAAAACTTCCAATATCAGCAACTGACAAAATATACTGTCCATTGCCAGAACAGATAATATAGAAATAAATCTTCTCAGTACTTCTTTCTATATGTTCTTCTGACTTCAGAAAAATAAATCTCATCCACTGTAAATTAAAACTTACTCTTTTTCCTGTATCTTTCAGGCACATCAGCTCCATCAAGGCTTAAGTACTAATATACAGCATTATTAAAATGCAATCTTATTATTCAAAATTCCCCAAGATATAGGTGAACAACGTACTACTATATTTTTCATAGAATACTGAATCACAGTTTAAGTGACTAAAACTAGCATTTATGTTATGCTCTGATTTCAGGCAATTATTTAAATTACTTTACAAATAATTACTCATAGTAATATTATTTCCCTTAGCTCTTTCATAACACATCAATGACAAGAAATCCCACTCATCATCACAGCCAACATATGAAACTTTTTGCCAGATTTTCTCCAAGTTGGTTGTTAGAAGGCTTAAATACCCCAGGCAATTGACCATTCCATGCATAAATTGACAGCTTTTTCTTCTGGGAACATGAATTTATAAACGCAATGTAAAAGTACCTTCAGTATCTTTCAGGCCCCCTCTACACATTCAGGTAAAGGCACAATGGGATCTAATGCACAATCACACATGCATGGCACAAAGCACAATTGTGGGATTGTGCATGTCTTTTTTTGCCTTCTTGCTGATGCAGGGGAATCGCCAGGAGGCATGCTTTGAGGACCCAGCATCTGCAGCTGTGGGACTGTGGGTCCCAGCAGTTGTGGGGTGCTGCAGGACCCAGAGTTGGCAGCTGCTTAGCCCCCAGCAGTTACGGGGCTTGTAGCCTTGACTGGGCAAAATGAACTCCCTTGGCTGGGAGTCCAGAGCTGATGCTACAAATTTGCTACACATGCAAATTAAAGGTTGATAGCAATCAGATATATAAATAGTACACATTTTCAAAGTCTAACTTTATAGCTGGTTGGAGCTTTTTATTGTGTGATAGCTACTTTTTTTTTTTAGCTAGTCTCAAGTTAATTGCACAATTAACCAGCACATGTAGAGGGGGGCTATCAGACCTTGAGTTTATTTGATATACCACTTGTAGAAGATTAGTGGCTTCTTTTAACTCTACAGTGACTCTTCATATATGCTCCATGACTGTACATATTCTCCCTCCCTTCCCCTTTCCTCCCCTCCCCCCTTCACCACTGGCTCCCTCAAAGCTTTGCTACCCACCCATATTCCTTCTCCTCTACTGAACTGATCTTTCTCCTGGGTCCCAGGAGAAATTTCTACTGTTGCCCTGGCTCCTGGCTTAGCATATATGAGAGACTGCAGCATGACACAGAACTGAGAAACAGCTGCCTGTTGCTGAAAGAATAAAGCTGGAGAGAGAACCCAAAAAGTAGGGGTGCACCAATGAAAATCTTTTTGGCCGATACCGATGGCTGATTATTAACCAACCATATCAGCTGATACTAACCTGATAGCCAATATGCAGCCGGGCAGTTTCAAGAGCAGAGTCCAGCCAGTAAGTCCATGGGGGAGAAGGGGCAAGATCAAGGGCCCCACAAGGAGGGAGGGAAGCAGGCAGGGGCAGATGCTGCCCAGCTGGGGTGGGGTGGGGTGGGGCAGGGTAGGGCATGGGATGGAGCTGCAGGCGGCTCAACCGGGGGCATTGGCGGGGGTGGGCGGCATAGGGTGTCAGCTCCCTCCACTGCGTGCACCCCCAGGGGAGGCATGAGGGGCATGTGCCCCCCAGATTTGTGCACAGGGCAAGGGTGGGCTGCCTGCTGTGGGCCCAGGGCCAGGGACTGTGCCAGCCTCTTCTCAGTTGGGGGGGGGGTTAGGCTGGGGCTCCATTACAGCTACCCCAAAATTCGCCATAGCCCCCCCCTCCCCCCGCATTGCCACCACCTGTCCCGAGCACAGCCCTGGCCCAGCCCCCCTGCTGGGAAGAGCCTGGTGTATCCCCTGGCCCTGAGCCCACATTGGGCAGTCCACTCTCACCCCGCGCACAAATCCAGGGGGTACATGCCCCCCATGCCTCCCCTGGGGATGCACGCAGTGGTGGGGAGCTGCGTCTCACCCCACCCCAGCTCGGCAGTGCCTACCTGTCTCTGCCTCTGTCCCAGCCCCACTCCCTCCCACTGTGGGGGCCTCGTTCCGCCTCCCCCTCCTCCCATGTCCCTGCTCCCCCACAGACTTACTGGAAGGATGCTGCCCACCAAGCTGCTGGGCTGCACTCCTGGCCATGTGCATACTGTGGTTGTGCGCATGCATGCAGCATTTGTCGGTGACATTATTGGCCATGAAAAGCTAATTGCTGATAAAGTCAATTTTCCTTTTATCAGTGCCAATCCGATATGGACCGATATATCAGGGCACCTCTACCAAAACAGTGTGCCATTGTGTCTTAAGGACAATTTTATTACTTCTTATCAACAGCTTAGAAGAGTTTCCCACCAGGACAAAAGTCCATTGCCCCTGTCCCAACCCAGCTCACTTACCAGCAGCCCACATCAGCCATACTACAGAAAAATTCACTACTCAAAACAGCCTCTCTGTTGATTTTCATGGCTGCAAAGTCTCAGATCATTAATTGGGCTATTTTAACCCCTGCCAAATTAGCAAAGCTAGAGCTATTCAAGTTCACCCAAGAGGTGAATCCGTGGTATCCATACCATCCAAGGTTTCTCATGAATCAATATGCAATATTCCCAACAAATATAAGAAATCTGCATGAGCATTAAAACATTTTCCATCTCTGAGGCTTGCAAAAGTGTCACAGGAATTTTAATTGTTCCTATTTAGGGTTAGAATGTACTAGCTCTAAACAGTTTTAATAGGAATAAACACTAAATTACTACCAAGAGAATCAAACCATATTTAAAACTGCTGTAGGAAACAGTACTTTGACAGTATTAGGAGGTATTTTCAAACATCAGTTTCCTCTTGAGTGTTCTTTGAAAAAAACTTTTTACCAAGCATGCAAGTAGTGTTACTCTGAAACTGCTTTCAATCTTGATTCTTGTATATACTGCCAATGGCCAGACTGGCTATTCAAGTTTTTTTTTTTAATCTCTTAGTTATACTTGTACAGATAATATAGTCAATACTAATGAAAAGTAATAATTATCAAAAGGTACTTACATTGAATTTAATAATGTCATATATCAGGTAACGAGGGACAACTTGGCCATTCACTTTGTCAATGATCATTTCCTTAAAAAAAATTAAAAAAAAAAAGCAACAAATCTGTTAATGCTTATGTTAGCAATTCTTGAAAGTTATAAAATGCTGCCAAAATAGTTGTGTATTACGTCCCTATAGAATTATACAATATTGGATTACCCTGTTACAGAGCAAGTTCTATGCAAATATATATTTGGAAGTAGAGTTTAAATGCTATAAAAATACTATTCTTGTCAGAATTGATCCTTATAAAAGTTTTCAAGAAAAAAAGAAAAAGAAGAACCTATATTAAGGAACTCTACCCTGAGTTGGAATTGGGCTTCAATATATCACAGATTTGAAAGTTACCCAATTTCTGGTATGTGGTATAGAAATAATAAAAAAAAAATACTTTCAATAGAAATTTTAATCTTAAGGCAGTCTGACATCTGAAAATTTTGCCAATAATGTAAGCACAGTAGCTATGAATTAAAAAGTAACATCAAGTCCTTTGCTTAGTTTACTAAGTTCAGAGGCCTTAACACGGAAAAAACTGTTACAGAAAGATTAACACAGACATCAAACAGCGTGGAACCAAGACATTACTTCTTTATTACACAATTTTGACTAGCCAGTAAAGTTCCTTCAAAGGAAGTACTCCGGAGTGTTCACGCCACAAGAAACAATCCACATCTTTAAATTTCCATTTATGCTTCTCAAACCTTTTTATACAAATTTCTTTTGGTCGTCAGTCCAATTACCATTTGAAATTAATTATATAATTGTCAGAATCAAACATACATTGTTCATAAAGTAAGTAATATGCTGTTTTTCTTTTCTTCTTCCCCACTTCTTAGAAATGCTTTACTTGACTGTCTCTTCTAGTTATCCTTTCTTTGTAGAATAGGGGCATGATGGTTTATTATAGCAAAATATGTTTCACTGTGCTTGGGTTTTTTTTGGGTTTTTTTTCTGAAGCTACTGTATAATAACCAATTTGCCCTGACAAGGAGAATTTAATTTTTTTTTTTTTAACATTTGTACAATACTTTGAAAGTAAAAATACTACAAAAATTAGTTTAATCTTCATTAAGATTGATCATTTTATTATTTTCTCTACAGTGAGGATCACAGTATCTAAGGCAGATAGACAAACCTAGCAAGTAATGTGTTCCAATACCAGTAAAAGCAAAACTTAGCTACTATGGCAAATGGGAAACAGCATAGCTGATTTCAAATATTTTTTTTGATTCCTGAAGAAATGTCTACATTAAAACCAAGCTGCTTCAATTATATCAGATCACTAACATTAAAATATATACTTTATAACCAGTTAAAATTTGTTCTGAAAGATTTCTATAACTAGATAATTCCAATAAGTTGTGTGGATATGCACTACCCACAAAACCAAGAGAATTTTTCAATCATAAATCTTAAGCAAATCAACTCTCCCATTCACCTCAAGAAAAGCAAGATCCTTTTTTTGCAGAAAGATTCAAAATGTAAAAAGAGATTAAATATTTTAAAAACCCAGACAGATCTGTTAACTTACTATAAAATGTGGAAAATTTTGCAGCTACTGGCACAATACTTTATTGGGATACTTCCTATTTAAACACTCTACCTTCCCCGTCTCCCTTTTTTTGTTCTCTTCATACTTTTTTCTTACATCTAGCTCTTTTATCCCCCCTTGTATTCTTTTCAGTGTCTTCACTCAAGTTAGGTTCTTTAACTTTTAATATTGGGAGTCCATTTTTTCTTTCTTTTTTCATCTTGCTTTCATCTCTCAAGCTTTTTTTTCACTTTTCTTCAGAGTTCTTGTTTTTCCCTGTGGTAGTTTCCCCTCATTCATATTTTCTCCTTCACTTTAACTTGTTTTCTTTTTACAAAACCTTCTTTCCTCTTTTATGTCAAAACTGCCCCTCTTCTCCTGCCAAGTCCTCTTGACTGTTTTTCAGCTTTTCCCTCTCCCAACCCCTGCATAGACGCTGCAGAACAAATCATTATCAACTCAGAGCAGCAGCTTATGATGCCATCTTAACAACCATCAAACAAAACCTCTTAGTTATCTGCTCTCTTTCAGAATTTCTCTTGTTACATTTATCATTTCTGGCTGAAAACTGTCTTTCAAGCATGGAGGACCCAAAAACTTCTGCTTGAGCTACATGGAAACACTCTGAACAGGCTCTCACGCCAACCTAGAACCTAGGGATATGGATATATTTGGAGACATTTCAAAAGGCAAGCAGCTGTTAGAGTCTAATTGTCCTTGTGGACAAGCTATGAAGGATACAAATGTAGCAAAACTGCTCCAACTGTAACAGTGCTTCATCCAGGGTTAAAAAGTTGAAGCATTTTACTTACATTTGTATTGTTTACAGCTTATCCACCAGTAACAATTAGCACATAGCAGCAGCTGCCCTTTTGAAACATTAGCCTTTTGAAACACCTCCAAAAGTACATGCGCCATACCCTAAGACTCATACAGATCATAAAATGCAGAGAAAGGGCTCAGGGAAAATACAGAGGAAATAAAACTGAAACCAGACAAAAAGCATTATTCCAAATAATTATCTTTATATTCCACATTTATTTTATCTTCTGCTGGTGTATTTCCTTCCTATACCTGCCCTGTGCCATTTGTGCCTTGACCCTATAAGCCAACCAAGAAGTACGTTTTCCCACCCTCAGAAAATACCGCTATTTGGAAATCGTGTGTAATGGTACTCATCATTTGATCACATCTCTCATAGTAACACAATAATGTAAGTCCTAACTGCTGCCTTTTTTAAGGAGTATGTGTAGCGATCCATGTTGTAAACCTGGGCTATACAGAAGGTTAACATTGCTACAGATAGGTCCTTCTCATGAAATATGAGCGCTTACTTGATATCATGTAACCTGCAGTGTTCTTTTCATTTTTCCAGTTTAACAGCTGTTTAATATCCAATATTATATTTTGAGTATATCCCACAATAACAAATGCATGGATTATAACAATTAACAAATGGAATACAAAACAGCTCTGGAAATTAAGTTAGAAATAAAAATACATCCATGTTTTATAATTACGATACTGACATCTCTTAACTCACAGCTGTTACTTTCATGAACTTGCAATAGATGCTATCAAACTTTTCAAAGACACGTTTGTTTTCTTCCTCTTTTCAAAAGTAAACCATACTTATAATTCTTAGTTCTTGCATAATAATGATAATGCAGTGGTCTGAAGAATTTAACTAGGCAAAGTTAAAATTCCAATCCCATTTGACCCAAAACAAGGGACATGGAAAAACAGTCATCTTAACATCAACAATGTAATAAAAACACAGAGTTTAATACTTACCTGCAGAAGGGCCATTACAAAAAAGTTTTTCTTGCACATGTGCTCTCTTGAAAGAATGACATTTATTACACCCTTCTACTATACATATAAGATAGCACTCTCATGGAGGCAAGTTTTCTTATACACTATCCATATGGATCTTGACAAGATGCTCAAGTAATGCAGTATAAAGTGATAGAGTGTAGCCCTGTCATATTTCTACATAAAAAGTCAGGCATTGGAAGGCTGTCAAGGAAAAAGATGCAACTCCAATACTATTTCCTCAAGAAGGTGTGGTGTTCCAACTCAAGAGTGTGAGGTGGTACTGTTGTGTGTGTGAGAAGACAAGATGTGAAAGAACTGGAATTCTTGACTGAATTCTTGTCACTGAATGGGTGTTATTCTCCTATAAGAAACATGAGGAACAAAGGTCTACTTCTCTAAGACTTCACCTACATTAGCTGTCAAAACATGTTAACTAAACTGAATAAACATCTACAGTTTAGAAGTCACATCATCAAAAAGTTTACAAGGCTTCAGCATGGTACACACTAATATATCTACATAAAATAAAGGCCCAAGGGTTCAGCCATTAATTAGTTTCACAGAAATATTTTTTCTTTTATAAAAAAAAAAACAACCTGAGAAGCCATTCAAGTGACACATTTCATTAACTGCTCCACCTCCTCCTTAATTGTCTCTCCATCTCACGTTTCCCAAGTACACTACCTCCTCTAACAGTCTGGTAAACAAAGCATCTGACTGGCTCTGCTCCATTCAAACCGTTTCCATGTTCCTGCTACGACACTACAAATGACCTTACCCTCTCATATATACATCTCATGAATTTTTGTCCTCTGCCTTGATAGGATTATTGTATCTGCATTCTATCACCCTCCCTACTTGCTTATCACTGTCATTTAACTTTCCATACCAGGGTATCAAAGATACAGCTCACAGGCCAGGTCTATCATGGGGCCTGCAAGGTGCTGCCTATGGGTCTTAGAATGGGCCCACATGCCACATGCAATCTACGCTAGATCAATCCAACATGCTCCACGTGCCGTGTGGAGCTGGCAGGTGCATGCTGCATGCAGAGATACGAGTTCTCTGGAAAATTTTACAATGCCTTAAATAGAGTGTGATCTGATTTAGCATGTTTATTTGACTTATATTTAGTATGCAAAACTAAAAAAGTACCCCCATGTTAATTTTATGTCCCAATAGCCACAAGTATTTGAACTGAAATATTTGATTAGGAAAAAAATTAAAAATACAGCACACTTAATGTGGTTTAAATGTTATATTCAAACTAATTCAAAGCTTTATGTGGAAAGAAATTATTTTTATTGGAATACTTGTAAAATGTAAAGACAATACACAATAGCATGTACTTCCCTTGCATTGTTTGTTTAAAATTAAGAAAAAAACCAAAGGCACTGAAAACTGTTGACACTAATTTTAGCACACTGAAAAATAAAACACTGGAAGATTTTCTGCCCCACATCTCTGGCTGCATGCAGTGCATAGGGCTGGTTTGAGGTGCCACCATGGACTAGCTCCACGTCATTCATCCAGGCCACAGCACCTAATCATATTCTATACAATACCTCTCCTCATCTCTCATTATAAGAAAAAACTTAGGGTGTGAGTTCATAAACCCTTTGGAAAGACTATACTGAAGCAGAGAAGTACTGTAACTTCACACATGTAAAAAAGATTAAAG